GATGATGATGATGATGAAGATGTTGTGATGATGATGATGATGATGAGGATGATGATGATGATGATGTGATGATGATGATGATGTTGTGATGATGATGATGATGTGATTATGATGTGATGATGATGATGATGATGATGATGATGATGATGTGGTGATGTTGTGATGATTATGATGATGTGATGATGGTGATGATGTGGTGATGTTGTGATGATGATGAAGATGATGATGATGATGATCTGGTGATGTTGTGATGCTGATGATGTGATGATGTAATGATGATGATGATGATGGGATGTTGTGATGTTGTGATGATGATGATGATGATACTGAGATGATGATGATGATGATGATTATGTCATGATGATGATGATGATGAGGATGATGATGCTGAGATGATGATAATGATGATGATGATGATGATGCTGAGATGAGGATAATGATGATGCTGAGATGATAGTAATGATGATAATAATGATAATGATGATGATGATGATGATGATGCTGAGATGATGATAATGATAATGATGATGATGATGATGATGCAGTGATGATGAAGAGGAAAAGTAATGGTAGCCTATATATTTACAGTAAAGACTTTTAACAAAGTAATCAGATAGCAAATAAATGTCAAAACACATTGGTTGTCCATGAAATCAATATCACAGCATCAATATGATAATTTCATTAGATCCACTTACAAACACAAAGTGCTACAATCAAATATCAAAGTATCAGTCTAAGAATAGGGGTGTTTATAAAGATACAACACTGTTCTCAGTCAATAATTAATATTGACTGAGAATAATATTTTACGACCCCTTCAGTTTCCTGTCTAATAATAATAATTCTAATGTTAGTATCAAGCTGACTTAATGCTTTGCTATATTGTAAAACCTTTATGGGTAATAAACCTAAATTTATATTTGATTTCTCTGTTGAGAAAACAGCAGCTGAAGAAAAGCCACCACACATTGATATGTCAGTATTCACAACCACAGACCAGAAAAGTAGTGACAAAGGAACTACTTAAAGAGCATTAAGTCTGTAATGAGCACATTAAATATTTGGTAACATTTAATTCAGTGGGATAAAGCCATGATGAAAAAAACTAGATTAAAAAAAAGAAGATAAAAAGGTCTTGGGCTTAAAAGAGTGACTGTGTAGATCAGTATCACCTCTGCATTAAGAGGCACCCGGAATGTTATGTTTTTGACCTGACCTGTTTTTGTCTCAGTAATGTGCAGCTGCAGATGCATGGAGTGGAATTCATGCAAATAGAATAAATACTCTTATTGACTATGTATTTCTCTCCCTGCTGAAAACAGAGCTGCTTGAAATCACATCAGGATTCAGTGAATTTAACAGTGCACAGTATTTTATTATTGGTCTTTCTGGACTTGTGTGTGAGGCAGGTGACTGAATTACCTTCCAGCTATGTTCAAGTCAGTGCAAAAGGATTTTCATAGCATCAAAAATTAATGAGGAGTAATTGCTGCCTGCAGGGAAGGAAAGCGATTAAACAAATTGTAAGCCGTGCCTTTGCATAGCGTAATTGGCAACATTGTGCGTATGATTTGTAGTTAATTCTTGAACAGTGCAAAAACCACAGAGTACTGTGTAAATGTGTTCATGTGGATTTGTAGAAGCCAGTTTGGACTGGAGGCTGAGAGGAGATTGAACAAGGTTGTGCATTAAATAGTATTAAACAGCAACAATGCACTTCAAACACACACAGAGTTTTTGACTGAAACCATAACTATTTGATAGACATGAAACTTGGTGTAGACATTTGTCCCAGTCACAGGCGTTGAATTAATCCTAATTGCTATGTCTCCCTCACTTGAAGCCTCAGTGTGTAAGAATTAGGTGAAAGGGATCTATTGGCAAAAAATAATCCTTGTGATTTTTTTCACTAGTGTGACTCATCTAAATTGAACAAACTGTTGTTTTCCTTCCCCTAGAATGTGCCCTTTATATTTAAATACTTTATATGTACGTCAGGAGTGCATCCTCTCCATGGAGGCCGCCATGTTGTTTACAGTTGTCTTAACTGGACAAACTAAAGATCTTTTCAATTTTTTTGACAACTGAAGATTTCCACAAGTTCTCTTTCATGTTTGGGAGGGGAGGGTGCGGTGAGGGGTATTCAGCTGCAACATGAAACTTCACCACTAGATGTCACTAAATTCTACACGTTGAACCTTTAAGTTCATGTGAAGGTACCAATGAAAATAACAACCACAATGTAGAAGGCCTAGTGTGTGTTTTATGTCCTGTATCTGAAATCCTTTTATTTACATGGTGTTTTTGTGTAAGTGCTTTATTTTACTTGATACTTTATGATAAATAGTGACACATAGTGCCGACTAAGTAGGACGCAGAAACTGCAGACGTCCAGCGTGATCATCAACAACCAATTTCCCAAAGAACAGGAATCTTACAGTATCTTTATAGACATTATACATCTATAATAAATATGGCAACATAAACTAATTTAAAAACACAATACAGACACAATTATGACAAATGCATGTGGTGCACACAAACAAATACAGTGTCAGGAGTAGGCCTCCATTTTAATAAAATGATGACACCTGGTGGTTGTACTGATTTACTGCATTGTTTGTCATCGTTCCAGTCTCAGTGGATATGACTCGGCCTTCTACTGCTCACATAGATAGTATCATTCAAGAAATTAAATATGACACGATTGCAAGTCTGTCTTTAAACAGGGATGTTATAAATCCACAATTCCAGGTTTTCAGAAAAATGACTTCAAAGCTTTTTCTGAACTTAATAATGTAAAGCTTCAGATTTGATCTATTCACTTATTTACACCAAATGAATAACTTTGTTTTTTCTGTTACAGATAAGATGATTGTTTGGTGAC